CGTGGCTTATTACTAAAGTATAAAATAACAAACGATCTGTTTAAAGTGATAACAGCATAGCTCATCAGATGAACGTTGGGCTGACCTATTCTTAGACATATCATTTCCCGGTGAGGCTTAAAATTTCTATGTCAATATAATTTGTAAAACTTATTTATTTACTCCAGTGCAGCAAACCCAAACTGGGTCTTGGACTCCCACACAAGAGATCGCCAGAGTCGCCTGTCTTCTGCAGTATCGCTTGTAGCGCCCGCATATCCAATTCTACCGCGTCACGCCAGCGGTATCTGGACCAATTAGACAATAATCGTTTATTAGATTAACCATCGTAATCCAATCAAGATAGATCGTCGGTGGCTCAGGAGTCAAGCACTTGACTTGCAAACTACAGGTCCTGGGTTCGAATCCCGCCATGTACCAATGTGTTTTTCGATTTTCGATTTACATATGTAAATTTATCCGACTTTCTTACGGTGAAGGAAAACATCGTGATGCAACCTGCACATATCTGAGAAGAAATTCAAAGATATGTGTGAAGTCAACCAACCCGCACTTGGCCAGCGTGTAGTGAGCTGATGATGATGAGATTAACTATCACCGTACACCGCACGGCGAATAGCTCTACTAAGTCACAAATATTTAAGAGTTACTTAACTGAGCAATTAACAAGGCTAGACAACGATTACAACGATCATGATGTCATTAAATTTATCAACTTAAGCTCAGATTAAGTACTAACAATGTTGTACATTTAGTATTTTAGCCTAATATTACTCGCAAAATTAACTATATAATATATAGATAGACACAAGTTGAAAGATATCGCTTTAGAAACACAGTACATATTCAGTGCCTAATATAATACTGTTCATATTAAATATTTTCTCTGATGTCTTCATAATAAAAGTTTTCCCAGTGATTTACGAACGCTTAGAGCACAAACGTACAAACATTGATTTCTATTTATATAAATCCAGGAGGCGTTAAGCTTTGTTTGTTGTAATAAATTCACAAGAGGACGATGGAACTAATTCCCTACAGTATTTTATTTGGCTCCGTCATCTCTCCAGAAAGTGGTTTTACACACGGTCGATTATTCAAAGACTTACTAAATAAAACTAGTCTAGAATTTCTGAGTAGAATATAGAATTTAAATTACATAATATATTTAGTTAAATTTTATTATTGTTCATATATTTATTTATATATTTGCATGTCATGTTTTTTTTTCTCTTTATTTTTTTTTAGGGACTTTTGTTCTTTTGAACATGTCAGTCCCTTCATTTCATGTTGTTATATTCAACGTAACTTTTAATTTTAATTTGTAAACCGTAAATCCTTTTAGGAAACACTTCCAGTTTGTAATGCGATTATTTCTGGATGTACGAAAATTAATAAAGGTTTAATTAATAAAATACTAGTTGTCGACTGAGACTCCGTCCGCGCGGTATTAAAAAAAATAATTAGTAGCTTCTGGTTCTTCCATGTTCTTCTTCTATGTTCTACGTCTATGCCAAATTTCGGCGAGATCTATGGACCCGTTCTGAAGATACCTTCAAACATCCATCCATCTCGCATTTATAGTATTAGAAAATTACCGTAGGTTTCTAATGCTTTATAAAACGTCAATAGTATTCTGAAGCCCGTTATTTGATTGTTATAAGTTTAATTTTAAATATAAAATCAATACACTTCGGAAATAAATATATTTTGTTGAACTAAATGTACTAGAAACGCCATTGACATCTGCTAAAGTAGAGTAATGGGCAAAGTCGGCTCTTTTCCGTGACATGAATGTACCGTATCGACTCTCGCACTGCCCACCGGGGATTTGACGATGTATTTTCAACTTTAAATGTAGCTCAATTTTTACAATTTACTGCAAATGCACACAAAACTATTTCTAATTTTTAATCTCAGTAAAATTGTCCGGTAATATTGTGTTGGATAAAATTATAAAACATGATAATTATTACTTAAATAGAGTTTACGTAAACAATCTGTTTTAACTGACGAGCGACATGTCTCGGCTTCGTTAAGGTGGACAATTACTTTTAATTATTTCATAAATTAAACATAGACTAATTTATTCACCGATAATATCATTGAAATCAGACCAATCGTTTTATAGTTTGTTATAAACATACATAAATATAAATAATTTTTATTCTTAATGTTAGTGAAGATACGACTCTATTATTTTTTTTATTATATTTAAATATTAGCAGATTTTTTAAGTAAATTTACTAATATAATATTTCTTTTACGATACTAAATAAGCTCTAAGCTTGTGCATATGGTTTACGACAATAGTCAAATGGCGGGATTCGAACCCCCGACCTCGTGATCGGAAATTCGTACCCTTAACCATTAGGCTATTGACCCTTTTACGGTTTCTGATTGTTAACAACTTTCATTATTGATTTTACGATTGACTCGAATTAGTTTAATAAATCTTGATTGTATAACAAACTTACAACTTAGATAGAGCGTATTCCAGCGTCTCTATTATTGAAAGCTTTCGAGATCCAAAATGTTATATTGACTTATGAACTTGTTACAACTTTATTTTACTTTCAAGGAGCAAAAGCAAAAGCTCGCGCCACTTGAGAGTAGTTTAATATTTCTTTATAATTTGTTCTATTTTTAAATGGCTTCCGCGTTGAATCCATTAGAACATAGCTTTACTAAAAATTTAACTTTTATCTTACATCTTCGCAAAATTAAAAAAAAAGATAAATATACATATACTATGTAATTCCTGAAAGTTTATTATATATATGTGCCAAATTTCAAAAAGATGCATTAAATCGATGCATAAAAAAATACTTATCCCACGGGAATTGGACACTTCTTGTGGGTAAATAGTATATTATGCCTTATTCAGGACAATATTTTATAGCTACACCAAACATTAAGATATGTTGAACCGCTATAAAGTTATGGAGTAGTAATGTAAAAACAAAACAAAGATATTCCATGCGAACCGAACATATTTTCTATATCATAGTTAGCCTATGTATTCTTCCAGACAATGTTCTTCATCTATTTAAAAGTTCTGGAGAAAACTTGTAACGAACATACATCCATCGATTAAAATATTCGCTTAATATTAATAAGATGTCTTCAATTGTTGCGAATTTTCGTGTATGTTCAAAAAATCCTTATAAACCCACAATAAAAGCGTACTTAAATCTGATAAATAAATACTGTACGCTTGAAAACATTAGTGGAACGACGCTTAATAAACAAGCCGTAAGCGCGGGATAATCTATACGGCCCTTGAAGCTTACTCAAATTGGCTGACTAATCTACGATTAACTCACGCTACGGCATAATGCACCAAATATTTTCTTATCTCACTTTAAATGGTCACTGAATTAGAAGCCAACTCCGTAATGGGCGTAATAATCTTTTGTGTAAAATACACAATTTATAAACTCATGCAATTATATATGTTACAGAAGATGCAAACAGTCAGTTATCGCAGCAGAAACATATGTAAAAAAAGTTGTTTGTAAGTAATTCATCCATACATACTTCCAATCCACTTTTCCCTCCCATCCTTACCTAATAGTTAACTTTTTTTGCATAATAGCATCGGTGGCTCAGACATTGTAGTATACAGGTCCTGGGAACAAATTCCGTCTTTTACCAAAGTTTTTTCGATTTGCATATGTACCTTAATTCGACGTTCTTACGTGATGCAAAAACGCAAAACTTCGTGATGCAACCTGCACATATCTGCAAAGTAATTCATCATTATGTGTGAAGTCAACTCGCATTGGCGTACCGTGATTGACTATGGCCTAGTCACCCTTAACTTATGGTAGGTTTTTGATCCCCTCAGTTGGTACGTATAGTGAGCTGATGATAATGAAGCCTGTTTTGATTTTAAGATTTAATAATTGTTAACTATTTCATTAACTAGTTGATTTTCTACTTATTTATTACCACCATTAGTAAAAATATACCTTTTTCTTTTCATCTAGATCGGATCACATAGATCATAAAATAGATCTATAAATGAAAAAAAACCTATGAATATTCTCTACATTAACTAACTTAACCTCACCAAATACATACGCGGCAAGAGAACTTTGTTTAATAATAAATAGTAATAACAGCAAAAGCTTTGTGGTTTTCCTAAAGTTGTTAGCAAACAAATGTAATATGTAATGAACACATGGCTGTGAACATTCGGAGTAATCTAAACTAGATTAGTGCGGCGCATTAGCGACGTCTCACACTTAGCAACTCTACTATTGCTCTCGATGAGAACATCGTTAACATTTCGACAAGGAAATTAACTTGAACAAACAAATAAACATCACATATTTTATATTGTAAGAAATATCAGCAATCGTTTGACCTAATACCAATTAAATATTTAACTAGGAAACAAAAATAAGTTTTCCCTTTGATTGAAAATGTACGATGTATAAAAATATCAGTATTACCCCAAAAAATATTGACACTGATTAGTTAAATCTTCTGAACGCCGGTGAAGGATATTATGGACGTCAAA